ATAATACTTTAGAGATAAGACAAACAAGAATAATATATTCAAGATTTTTTCCATATTTATACGCATTGGGTGAAGAGTAGCATCATCTTAACAACAACAATTACCTATCAAATTATAAGATAAGCAATACTGAAGAGTCTTTTGTAATTGGCTTTTCAATTGGTGGTTCTACTTTTCCATTTGATGTTACATAATATGTCTTCTTATGCAAGCGGACTGTCGTCTTTTCTGACCACTTTGTAACCGTACCCATGGTATAACCTTCGCTTAATACACTTTCTGGAGAGGAGGTGAAATGTTTTGATTTAATTACAGCGACAAAGCTTTATTTTGGTTTAATGTCGCAAAACTTGCTCCTCAAATGAAAATTGAAACAGTAGCGCTGGTTTAAAAAAGAACATAGCTGTCCAAAAGGTTGTTTTCTAATAAACCAATACTTCCTTTTTCAACTCATAATTTAAAAGAATATTAAAAACTTGAAAGAAGGGATGAATTTTTGTTAAGTAAGAAAAGTGCTTGAAGTAGAACATTGGTCAAAAGCATGAAACAGTAATGAAAGAAGCCAGAAAAAATATCACAAGAATTCTGTGAGAATTCCTTAACTTTTTGCCCCCGAAGTCGGAATATGATACCAACTAATTTAAAATTGCATTATTGCATAGGATGGACGATTCAGCTCTGCTCGGTGATCTGCTACGATAAGCTTTGATCTGTACTGAAAAATGCGATTTTATCTTGACAATAGCAGATTCGCCAATCTAAATAAATAAAACTGACAAAATACAACCTTTCTATATAACAGTTTAGAGCTGCTGAGAGTGCAACTTTTTGAAAGATTTATCACAAAAGCAGCATGATGAAAATTCAATCATTTCTCGCAATTTCCTGCTTAAAGTTTTAGAGAATAAGAATCTAGATTCTTTGAGCAGGAGTGCGAAAAATGAACTCAATTTCCATCATGCTGCTTGAGACAAATTTTTCAAATCAAGAGTTGCACTCTCAGCAGTTCTTTTATAGAGAAAAGTTGTATGTTGTCAGTTTTATTTGTCATTCAAATTGGCGAATCTGCTATTGTCAAGATAAAATCGCATTTTCCAGTCCAGATCAAAGCCTATCGTAGCAGATCAGCGAACAGAGCTGTGAAAATCCCCCATACTACCCAGTATTGCAATTTTAGATTAGTTGGTCATATTCCGATGTTCGAGGGCAAAAAATTGATTCACTCTCTCCCAGCATGGGCCTGTTTCTGTGTGTCACTGGTGCGAGATTTGTCGAGGTGTTACGGTAGTGCTAGTCGTTCAGCAGGTGTTTAGCTCAATGCAAGTGGTATTTGTGGTTCCGC